TTTCAGAAACTTCAGGTGAAATAGCTAGCAACATTATCCGAAAAATGGAAAGAAAAATATTCATGGATTTACCAGGAAATTCGTGTTTTATCAGTGGAAACTTGGCAACGCCTGATGGTTCAAAGGGTGTTTTTCCTTGGAACGACTGTATTCAACGCACCCTAAGGTCCCTGACCGAAAATATCCGAATTTAATTATGTACCACTGAGGTATCCCGATGATAAAGGAAGGAAAAAAAAAGCACAGGCAAAAATATTGCCGGAGGCAAGAAGTCTTTCTCGCATCTCTTTCTCTCCAAATAAGAACGTACAATAGCATTTCGCATCTCCTAGAAAGTCTGCATGTAGTTACATCAGGTGCGATCATTGTGAATGACCGCGTTAATTAGTCCAGAAAAAGTAATTCCATTGAATAAAAGCGCTCAGAAATAATTAGCGTTACCCGAGGAATGCTTTCAAGTAGCATAGTTACTTAGTGCCTTTTATTAAAATTTTATTACCCGGCTTTGTATCTGTATGCCGATCGCCCCTCGTGCATTGAAATCAAATTATGGCAACTATAAAGAAATTAAAATCCTCCTTTAAAGGTGGGATTCGCTCTCATTAACGCATGGCTTAAGATTTATTCGCGTGTGAAATGTAAAGTCGAGTGGCATTTTATCGAGTGCAATAAAGCAGTGGCGTGGCGTGCTTTGCGATATATCGATAGATCTGTCATTTAAACCTATGGAAAAGGATCGATAAACAAGGTGTTCGCAGCGGACACCTTAATACTCGATTCTTTACCATAGCTTCAAATGGAGAAATATCGATAGTCCATCATTCAGGCCACGCCACTGCAATAAAGACTCTATCTTCCGGATCTACAAGTCAACGGACTCCGTTGTGCTAGCGATTCGGCCGTTCCTACTCGCGATGCAAGTGGATTACGAGATTTATCTGAGGTCATGGTCACATTCGTCAGAACTACAGACATAATAGATGTGTGGACACTCCCAATATAATGCGGCTTGGTTTAGCTAATTAAGGCATTGTTTGGTATAAGGGCGTATACATTCGAAACCCCTTTTTTGAGAAAAAAATTTAGAAGTTTTAAAGGCCACCGGCCGATTCCCTCCCGGATCCAGATTCCCTCCCGGATGTGAGAAAAAAAAGAAAAATTGGCAACGTCGCAGCAATCGTGACCAGGAATGTAAAACATGAGAGACTAAATCAAGATTTGGGAATCACGGAAATGCTAGAATCAAGACGCCGATGAATAAAGGGAAGTTTGGGTGGTTTTCTGTAAAGGCATGAGTTGTAACGCGAGTGAAAGCTTTCACAGGCATTGGTCGTTTTCGTGAGGGCTTCAGTTGGCAGCCCACATGTCAGGTGGAAACGTGACACTTTTCGAAACAAAATAGTCGCAAAGATAATCCTAAACTCTTCCAAACTTATCGTTAGTTGGCTGATCTGACTTGACCTCAGAGTAAATATCACCAACCTCTTAGGATAGCAGAAAAGATGGACCGGAAGTAAGGTGCAGAAATCTGCCGGGGTCTTTAAGACCCGAAGCCCCCAGGACGTTGGTTTGGACGAACGTCCTGGATCTTTCTCCACCAGAATTGGCTGAACATTCTTGGTCATGATTGCTGGGACATTGCCAATTTTTCTTTTTTTTCTCAAAAAATGTGCTTTTGAGGAGAGCTATGGAAAAGTCAAAGAAAAGTCATGGAAAATTCTGAAAATTGTGATGCGCTAACTTCAGTTTCCGCGCCAATTACTTTCTAAACTCATCCTCATAACAGTCCATGGACTTGGGTCAGCCACGGATGTGAATCCTTTGAGGAAGGCATAAAAGGAGATGGCACGAGGGAGACCCAAAGCGAGTAGGCAAGCTCCGGCTGAGCGGATACCTGCGTGGGTTCATGAGTCATACGCGTGGTATGGCTCAGAGGTGCAGGCGCATCGCTCGTCCCGCGTCAAAAAGTCACTCATCCTCATCGGTCGCGTGCTTGGCGCGTTCTGCATCGTGCCGGTCGAATAGTTTTGCCGGTGCATATTCAACATATGGATTCACTGGAAAAAAAACACATTGGATCTAGAGTTAGACTCTTATAAACATCGACAAGAAAAAATACTCTTGATTCAATCAGATTTAAGCTTAAATCAAGAACCAAGCCTCTTAATTGGAGTGGATTTCTTTTGATTTAAGCTTAAATCTGATTGAATCAAGAGTCCTTTTTCTTGTCAATGTTTTCAAGAGTCTGGACTCTAGATCCAATGTGTTTTTTTTTTTTCCAGTGTTAAATTTTGCAATAAGGAACCACTATCTCTGGCTCTCCTATAAAAGCACATAGCTGCATAGGGAAATCAATGGCATGTATGTTGTTTCTATAATGGGCCAGAAATAGTAGTTCCTTTATTGCAAAATGTAATCCATATAATTCGGACATGATCGAACAGTTGGATCGAGCTAGAGTACCTAAATGTGGAAAGTACGGACACGTCGAAATGAGGAGCTCTAATTAATGCCTAAAAGGGCAGCCAACTATATCTAATTAAAAAAACATTAGGAAAATGCCGCTTCCAATCTTCAGACTCCTATACTGCCGTGATAAGGAAAAACGTCGCATGAGCCTCCAGACGTTGCCAAAACCCTGGCAAATAAATCTCCGATCATTTTGTTTGTAATTTGATCTAAAATGTCTGAAAATTTCAAGGAAAAATATTAATAATTTTCCTAAAAAATAAACATTTCCTAAAAAGGAAATTTGGTAACTCTAAAATGTTCGTACGGCGTTTTTCCTTAATATAGCAAAATAGCAAACCAGAATGGCCCAAAATTTTCATGAACGAGCGTCTCTCCGCAAAAGTATTAATGCAAAAAATAAGTTAAATGAGTGATTTAAAGATGACGGGCCGTGACAATGATGATCAGAAATCATTCTGGATAATTTGAGTTCATAAGTTGGCTACCCTTTGGGCCGTAAAAGCTCCAAGACCTTACCTCCAAAATTATCGATATATCCGTGCTCTATCCCCTTTTAGGTTTAATCGACAGAAACCCACTTTCCTGGAAAGAATCCATGTATGAGCCTTATTCTCCCTCTTTCCATTTCAAGATTGATAATAATCTCGTTTGCACTCCACAATTATTTGCCTCTGATATTTGAAAAATCCGGACTTCCGGCTAGAGTCCGCTAAAAGCTCAACGATGAGCGCATCAACTAAAATAAAAGCTTGACGGTTTCCACATTTGTTCCTTTTCCAATCATCGATGACGTTACTATACTTGCTAATACTGCCGTGCTGGGGCTAAACGCCGCATGAGCCCTCAGGCGTTGCCAAATTTCCTGTGAAAAAACTCGAATTTCCTGGTAAACGTAAGAAAATTTCCCTTCCAATTTTTCAGATAATTTTGTTCGTGTTTTTACCTATAGTTCCTGAAAATTTCAAGGAAAAATATTCATAACTTTTTTCTAAAATGAACATTATATCGAAGAAAATTTGGCAACTCTCGAATTTTTATACGGCGTTCTTCTTCAGAACGGCAGAATAGCGGCCTACACTCGCACGTTCATTTCCCACGTGTTCTTTTCACTAACCGTAACCGATGTAAAGGCGTACGTCGATTTCTACATGGGCCACGGAAAACATTGAGTTATATGAGGAACAGGGCTCACTTAAAAATCGATATACGCCCTTACGCCAAAAGAGCGACGAAACTCGACACCTCTTTAGCTCATTAAATGCCGATTATTTGCGAATCTCTTCGAACCGTTTTAGCCATCTACACAGTCCCGTGGATTTTTCTTTCAGATTCCCTCTGTGAGTAGCTGAAAGTAGAACGGTAAATAAAAAAAAATAAACATCCGCCAAGTCAAAGGTCTCCCCTTGCAAATTAGATTATTTGGTGTGATTTCAAATGATTTGACGTCGTTTTAGAATGATAACTCCAGTTTAAACTACCCATGCTGATTTTGAAATCATACAGCGTGACAAAAAATTAAAGTTTGGAATGACAACCAACCGGTTTCTGAATGAGTTCGAGCATCACGAGGACACACTAAACCAGTTGAAAATGCTCACATGTATGAATCAAAGGATCGTTGTCCAGTAACGCATTTTTTCCGAGTGGACTGACCCATACCTGAGGTTTAAAAACACGCGTGAAATTTCTATGATTCACACTTTTCGCCGGTTATTTTTGAATTGCTTTCGACATTTGAACACGGAAAGTTCGGAAAATATACTGCGTGAAGGAAAAGAAGAACCTCAAACGCTAGCTTTATACGAAAACTATTTTCCTCAAAAAATAATGGGCTATGAGTAAGCAGTTTCCGACATCGCGAAGTAAAATGTGTGATTTTGAACTTGAACCGTTCTAATAGTGTCCTTGACTCCGAGTGATGAAGTGATTTTTCATTGAGACTTAAATAGCCAAATTTTTCAGTGGGTAATAAAGATGATAGAAGGCTCTAAACCTGAGATATGCTATCAAAAGAATGGCAAAAATGCACCACCTCATTCGGGATTTGCGTCCTCATATTGTTGAATTTGGGTCATCAAAGCAGCCGGGAATTCAAATGTTATCGAGAAAATGAAGAGTTTCTGGAGAGATCTTTGTATTCAATTAAGATGAGATTTGTGGCAATTTGTCCGCAAAAATTGAAATATCGACTTATGATTGTATGATGAAAATTCCTGATAAATCCCCTTACCCTTCGGGGGCAGGTGCAGTGACAGTTCTATTAAGCTCCTCTCATAGGAAAATTGCGATTTATTGTCGGGTGGGTAGATCTTTTTGCCTCTTAGTTCACTTTTATACATTCTTGGTGTACTTTTTTCGCCGGTTGTGGGGATTCTTCGACTATTTCTCTTTCCCACCTGGCTAAAACAGTTCGTTTGGTAAACCCAGAAGGGGGATAATGAAAACTATATGTAATTATAGTATTTTGGACGTCAGACCCTAAAATTTGAGAAAAAATACGTCGATAAAAGAAACAGAAGAGTACTTACGGCTGGCGGCACTCGTGGAAGCTGGTTTTCTTTTGCTGCGTCCTTGCTCATTTTAAATCCAACGGTTATCCAATTCGTTTATTAGAAATCCGAAGATGCACAAATCGAACGGCGATTGCACATTAATGTAACTCTCGAGTTTTATTATCACTGTAAATGTTATAAACGTGATTGCTATTATCACCGTTAATGTTATAAACTTGAGTATTATTATCACTGTTAATTTTATAAACTATTACTCCGAAAACGTCAAAACGCCACAAATCGCACAACTCGCACGATTAGAAAAAGGGTCAAAATCGTCACTAACTATCCCATTTCTCAATAAAACGATAAAAAACGGTAAAATGACAATCTAGCACCGAAAAATTTAACGTGAGTTTTCTGGTTAAAAAAAAAATAATCGTTTTTTAGTCAAAATTCATGCACCGGAGAGAGGGAGCCACAATTTCTCGGTGGTCGACAAATTCAGAGCCCTTCAAACTTTCTCCAAAAACGTGAAGAAATTGAACTTGCTTTCCTTTGCGATGTATCGTCACCGGGGAAATTATCTCCGCACATACGATTGAGTCCCAGGGTGTGACTTTTCGAAAACTCTTCGGGTGGCGAATTAGTCTACGAAATCCTGGGAAAGCGGGGCGTACTGGCTCCCCTCCGCGATGTGTGGAGTCTGGTCGTAGACTGGGAACGCGCCGAGCGGCACGGGATATCCGCGCGCCGGCCGTGGGTTATCGCGGCTTGCTCTTGACCGTGCTCCTACTTCGCCTCGGAGGGGGGG